GTTGCCTTTAAATGAAACCAAACAATCAAAATCAAAATTTACGTACATTGGTTTTTAGCTTATCATATTAAGATAACCCAGGGAGGGTCACAGTGGATTATATCGGATGAAAATCGCAAGCCGTCTTTTTTAAGTATAGAAATCATAACATGTGTGTTCGCGTATGAAGTACTTTGTATGCAGTGCAGGCTTACTGCAGTTATTTAGGCTTACTTTGCTAAATTTGCGTTTGAGGATAGCTGATCGTGCAGTCTTGAGGAAGAAAATGTTGTTATATCTTTTATAAGGTTTCTTTGTTTTTTGTCCACTTTCGGTACATAGGTTCTTTGTATCTTTTATAAAACTTTGATCCTTTATACTTTCTTACGCGGCTTTCATGTTATCATTTAAATTGCGTACTTTTTATGTTGAGCAGTAGTTTTTAGTTAGTATTTGTTTTATTACTTATATTTTTCAATCTTCTTTCGTTTATTTTATACTCGGCTCGTGTCCGACTTCTTATATCTTTAGCTCTATTCCAAGTCTTACGGTAATTGTTTATGTAAACAACTATACTACTGATTGCTGAGTTAAATATCTGATTTTGCTTGGAACTGTCTTGTTTAGTTGGTAATGAACTATTTTCTTAATTTTGGTCAGTTTCGCAGTGTCTTTCATATAGTGTACATTCCGTATTTCATCTAAGCTTAACCGAATTATTTGTACCATTAAATTATGATCGCTGAAGAAAACGACACCTTTAAATAAAGTTAAATCTAGGAACGATTTATGGTATATCTTATGATGGTATGGTATTATTGATAATAATGTGATTATACATTTAAAATAACTAAATTTTAATAGAAAGAGATTTATTGAAAATAGTAGGAATTGTAGTTAAAACAATAGTAAATCACTGAACTTTAATATCTTAGTTGTAATATCTGAAACAGGTGAAACAACTGTTTCTGTGTCTTCAACAATTTAATATCAACATAACGTAACATTGAATAAAATTTATTTAATATGGTTGACAAAAATACTAAGCGACCATTTAAATGAATTCCTTGCAAATTTGTTATCAAAATAAGTGATACGTACAAGATAATATCAATCTTGCTAGCTTAGTCAAAACAAGATAAATAAATTATGGGTTGTTATGGTATTATATCTATAAGCCTTTTATTCATATATATCATTAGTTTGTTATAACTGTTGAAATTGTCTTTTAAAATTTGAAAAACATTGATATCTTGCTATTAAAAAATTAAACTAATGGGGGAATCTGTAAATTAGTGAAAAGATATATTAAAATATAATCAAGCTGTAACAGATATAACTAGCTTTTCTTAGTTTATTAATTTTTGATATAAATCTAAATATTATGTAAAAAAATAATAAAATGAAATTACAAGTTAGCACATTATTGAAAAATACAATTATTTTTATTATAAAAAAAAAAATTAATTATTTACGAACAAATTGTAATGTACATATAACCAAATGAAATATAACTTAAAATCAGTGCAAAACATTAAGAAATTATCACAGATTTATAATGAATAGCTTTTTAATTGTGTTTTTAACTAATTATAATTATAATTAAAAACAAATTTGAGTTAATAAATTAATTATATAAAATGAAAATAACATAAAAAAATTAAATCTACTATCGAGACAGGAACAGTGACAACTTTTAGTTTTGCAAAGTATTTGTTTTTTGTTCAAAACTTATAAAATAAATAATAGGAAATATATAAACAATATCAAAAGTTTTAAGTTTGATTTATAAACTAAAAGAAAAATTTTTTTTTTTTAAAAAGCCGTATTTTCCAAATATTTAATATATATGAATTTTATTTAAATTACCAAAATATTATAATTTAATTATATATATTGGCAGTTTTTTATTATTATAGAAAAACAAATTTTATTCAACAACTTACACTTTAATATGAAATTCATTAAAAGAAATTTTAAATTACAATTTTTTAAAAAAAACTTTGGGAAAGTTGAGATTTTATTAATTCTCAATATTTAGTTGTGAAAATACCTAAATGAAGTAATTTTATATGTGCAACAAAATTACTTCCTGTCATAATCAAAGAAAATTTCTACTTCAATGGAGTTAAGAACCAAACTATAAAATTGTATAGTTGATCTCTTTCGAGAATCCATTCTTATATTGTATATAACATGCACGATCTGATTTAAACAATGTACTATATATATAATTGCTTAAATAAAATTAAGTATACTCAATAAAGATATTTTGAACTAATAGAAAAATGTTTGTATTTTTATACACACATTTTTTTATATGTGTATATTCTGCATTCTGATTTGATTAAACAATTACTCTTATTTGGTTTCTGCTTAATAAAAATTAACATTTTTGAAACTTTCCTAATATTAATAAACATTTTCATCTTCAATATCTTCATCAAGTGTTTCATATAAATTTACTAATAAATTACCATACTTCCAGCTGTTTTCCTCTGCATAGTTTGGTGCAAAGTATTTATCCGAATAACGTCTCATTTTCAGCAATTGACTTTTTCCATCCACATAGATGCCATTTGCTATTAGCTTCTGTATGTATGTCACGTCGATATGATGATTTCTAGTTGAGTTAGGAAATTGTACTTGTAAGGAACTAAACTCTGCTTGTATTGCACTAATTATTTCATCCGATTGCTCACAATATTTACAAAACCATCCACCAAAGTGATTTAAATCGCCAATAATAAAAGCAGAATTGTTCTGCATACTAGCTTTGGTTATTAATTGTATAGGATCGCCATTACCCAGATGTGGATTGTCGAGGTGCGTAAAGAAACTTACAAGACTAGTAAGGTGGGTTTGTTTTGCGTGCTGCCAATAGAAACCATATACTGTATACTTAAGACGAAAACGTATATACTCCACTTCTGGCTTAGCATAATATTTAAGAAACTTTAGAGCACTCCTTGATATAATTTCATAGTCACTAGAATACAGTATTAAATCTGTTTCGTTTAAATTAAACGCAGACACTGTATCAACGCGTAAATGTTTACGAAACGCTGCATATGCACGAGCAGCTGTGCAACTGACTTCCGTGACCTCTCGCTGAGTTGTGTCGGATTTACAATGGTACAGAAAATAATTGCCACGCTTTAAAATATTTTTTAGTCTACGTTGCAGCATTCTTAACTGCTCTAATGTTGCTTTATTATTTTTAAAATATATTATAAAGTAATCCACAACCTCGATAACAGCTTGTATTTGTAGTTCCAACAAATCTAAACTAAAGAAATTTCCCTCCAACATATAAACTAAACGATGTGCCATTTGTTTAGAGGGTTCAATAAGTCTGAAAGGTTTCTTGGCAGTCATTAGAGCACGCCAAATAATTTCAGGCTGACCACAATCTTTTCCATGCCAGCTGGTTTGACATTTACACTGTGCATTTTCGAACCAATCTAACGACATTAAATCCACTTCTTGCTCTACTGAGTCTCCAACAACTCGGTCCATATTATGATTGGTTTCATTTACGCTACCTTCGCGATAGCACCAAACTCCTCCTTCAGATGTTTTAGATTTATCGACAAGTGTTCGCATAACTTCTGCTGACATTATACTTTGTTTTAATATTGTTCCCCCGTTTTCCCCTATTAGGCCTATACCTGTTCTATTCAGTCTGTTTGGTTTGAAAACAAAGTCTGTTGCAAAAATGTTTACATTATCGTTTAAATACAATTTATTTCGTTGCAGTGTATGTTGTGGCTTTTGTTGTTCTATCAATTGTTTTTGAGCTGCGTTGAACGTTTTTTGCACTTTGTATTTGGGCAATTTTAGTGCAGCGCTTTTAATAAAATTCACTCTTCCAGCTGCGAGCAGAACATCGCCCTTTGTTTGCTGCTGGTTGTCATTTTTATTACTGTTAGGAGCTGTGTATTCCTTTGTAGCTGTCGTTAAACTGTTATTACTTATGCTGGCGTTGAATCCAAGCTGTAGTAACCAAAAACAACCAATGAAACAAATCTGCAACAGCACAACAACCCATAGTAGAAATTTTTTCGTTAGTGTACCTCTATTGTGTTGTACCGCATACGATACGAATGTGTTGTGCGTTGGAGCTGCCGCTATCAGTAATGGTACGTCATCCAAAGGAGTTGCAGCATGGCGGCTATTTGATGTGCGTACTGCATGTGTATGTGCCCCTCCGCTGCGTAAATGCATTGGTCATTTGTATGCTAAAGTTTAAAAATGAACTCACTTTTATTTAATTGATTCTTCACATAATCATAAATTTTTAAATTACTATTATATCTTTATATAAAAATTTTCACTTAGTTTGAAACGTGGGTGTATTTAAATTGAATGCTACTGGCATATATAAAACACACCCAAGAAAAACTCTCTTCTACTTCTTCACTGTCTGTTTGCCGAATGATATTCCCTTCAAGAACAGCTGCTCTTCTTTCTTCCTTGATTTGTTGTTTTTTATTTATTTATTTATTTATTTTTTACATATTTTTCTTATCTTCTTATGTCGTTCGTTAATACAGCATATGACATTAAGAGTTGCCAACAATTGCTTTTTTTGTTTTTTTTTTGTTTTTTCTTTTGATTTTTTTGTTTTTTTTTTTAAACATTACTTACAAATATGCATGTACACCACAAAATATTACGAATATCTATAAAAATTTTTTAAAATTTTGCATAACTTATTTAATTTTTACTGAAATTAATTTTTGTCTTCTGATTTACTTTAACCAAAGAAACAACAATAAAGTTCTAATATAAAAAATTAACAGTTATTCTGGTGTGGTGATGATTCTGGTAGTGTTTGAAGTTGCCTGGAAGCATGGTTTAGCAGCTAAATTCGTACGATCGCTGCTGTATGCTTGGAGTCGGAGTCCTGCCTTAAGTCCTAATATTCTGTCATTTTCTTTCAAATTTGTTTTTAGAATATTTAGATACCCATATTTATGCATTGTATCTTGCAAAAATTCAAGTTTGCCAGCACCATTACTTGCTATACACCCCAAACTAATACGCCTCTACCATATTTCACCGTTGAAATTAAGTTTTGTTTATCATTATCATAAATTTTCTTCACACAAGTTTGTTATCTTTGATTCCAAATATGGAAATCAACTCTCATCAGAGAAAATAACTAATTTTCAAAACTTCATTATATCTGGATATGTATGGCTTCTTTCTTGCAATCCGGGTATAATACATGCTTTTCTTCACAATTTTCCGCACAGTATCAGAACCTATTTCTTTTTCAAGTATTTCGGCAATATGTTTACCTAGTTTGAAGGCGGTTACTCTTGGATTTACTTTCACCTGGTTGATTATGCTGCGTCTTTCTTTATCTGACAAAATTTAACAGTTATTTGTCGCTTGCTAACACTAATTTTACGTCTTTTATTTTCCATTGTTAAAATTTACTGTTTATATAAAAAAATATTTTTAAATGATTAATTCTTAGATTCTTTAAGAAGTCAACTGATAATTATTGATCATTTAATAATATATTTATGCTTGCAAGCAAATTTAAATTAACGGTAAATGTAAATATTAAGAAATATCTGTAGACTTTTTTTGCTTCAAAAATTGTTGCATTTGCATATAATTGTGTGTGTGTTTTTTTTTAAAGAATAACTGTTAATTTTTTTGTAGTTTGAACTTTATTGTTGTTATTTTGGTTAAAATAAATCAGAAAGCAAAAATTAATTTCAGAAAAAATTAAATAAGTTATGCGAAATTTAAGAAAAATGTTATGTATATCTGTAGACTTTTTCTGCTATGTGTATGTATATATGTGTATATTATTAGCGTTTTAACATTTGTCTAGGACAATTTTTTTACATGATTTACCGTCAAGTTTTTGATAAACTAAATAGTTTTGATTCGTTTTACATGTAATTTATATATTTAAAAATTTACTATTTATATTTTTCTCTTTGCAGATACCCATCGCAAGTATTTGTTGGCGATACTTACTGTTACTTTGCTGGCATGACATTTGCAGTCGTTGGAATATTAGGACACTTCAGCAAAACATTAATATTATTTTTCATACCCCAAATTTTAAATTTTCTATACTCAATTCCGCAACTTTTCCATTTTGTACCTTGTCCGCGTCATAGACTGCCAAAATATGACTCAAACACTGATTTATTAACAATTAGCACTGTAACATTCCGAGCAGAAGAACTCAATTTTATTGGCAAACAAATGGTTAATATATTTAGGTTTCTAAAACTGATTTCATGGAAAGATCATGCCGATGGCAGAATAACAACTAATAACTTTACACTTATCAATTTTGTCCTAGTCATATTTGGTCCAGTACACGAAAATATTGTCACCTACATGCTGCTAGGTTTGCAAGTCATCTGTTCGATAGTTGCATTTTTTATACGTTATCCGTTGGCAAACTTGTTCTACGATACATGAGTGCGATAGATAAGATCATGGATCAATTTTATTCAAGTTGATCCTTTTTTAATTATTTAAATGAAACCAAATATATAATTTTATTGTGTTTTTGATTGATTAAATTTTATAAAAATTTCGTGTATTAAAATTTTCTAATACAAACTTTTCTTTAAAATATTTTTTTAAGATTTATTTTTAAGTATTGTAACTCAAATAAATTTAAATGCAATTATTATTAGTTATTTATAAAAATTAAATTATAATACCATAAAAAGGATTCATATATAGAAAACAAATAAAAACTTTACATAAGAAATATTTATAATGAGCATGTAACAGTAAGAATACACTATAACAATTAACATAACATATGTCGAATGTGGTACAAATGGAGCATTTAATACAAAATCCTTTTATATGGAGCTCATTATCAATAAATGTGCTCATTTAAGGCGAAATGTCGAATGCAACCCTAAAAATAAATTTCCCACATGAGAAATTACCAAAATTTGAAATATGTGTCATGTTTTATATGTAAAATGTGAACAAACAACAGATTAGCTATAAACAAAGGTACTGACGATGTAACTATTTAATAAAATCCTTGTTTTTATTAGTTGAATATGTAATTGATATATAAAATGTATTTAAATGATCTAATATATCAATTATATATTTAATTTTTTTGTGTGATATATTATTAAGTGAACTTCTATCAGCTGTATAAATGAGCTCATTATAGACATTCACTCATTAATATAAATGAATGGCTAAATGAGACAGCGTGAATGTAGTATTATTTGGTATTCAGTTATATCCATATTTTAACCTGTAATGAGATCAATGAAGGAGGCATGGCAGACCAACTGAGAAGTAGTCTGCTAAAGAGTTAAAACGATTTAATTCTAACGAAAATAGTACTGGTCCATCAAATAAAAAAAATAATCCGATCGGCTGTTTATAGTTGAATTGAAAAACTTACGAAATTGTCAACCTTTTTGGTTATATAATAGGTGTAGTAAAAAGAAATCCATTATTTTTCACGGAATTGAAGGCTTATTTACCATAATTAAAATAATCCGATTTAGGTCAAATATGCGACGTTTTGTTCGATAACATGTTACCTTTTTGAAAGTAATTTCATTATACCTCTCTCATAGTAGTCATCGTCCCTATTGGCAAAAAATTAAGGCAATCGATTTTCACAAGCCTCTCACAGCGAATGTTTCACCAGAATAATCGTTCGCAATGGACAGAAACAGATGGTAATCACTTGGTGCCAGGTCTGGACTATAAAATGGATGCATAAGAACTTTACAACTAAGCTCCCGGAAATTTTGGCGATTCATTATCGATGTGCGTGGCCAGGCGTTGTCCTGATGCAATACAATTCCTTGTTAAATAACTTGGCTAAAATATCTATCCTTGACTCAACAAAAAGATGGCTTTGTAACTATCTTATAGGCAGATTATGCTTTGTTGACTTTGGAAATAATGGAAATGGAAATGTCAAAGGTCACGCAATTGAAGCAATTTCAATTCATATATGTCTAAACTCCCAGACTCCCTGAGGGAGACAGAGTCATAACATATGCAGATGATTGCACAATTCTAACTACGTGCTAGGATCACTCTATATTGTGCAAATATAAATATATATCTCCCCTCTGCAGCATCGTTTTTGGATAATAGAAAATTTCACCTATCACCAAAAAAATCCTGTCACTCTCTTTACTTCCTGGACTAAAGAGCTATCTATAACTCTGACCATAAATAAATACAATTTTTTAATCCTTTATTTACTTCAATAAAAGGGATATATTCAGAACATTTACACTGTAGCAATTAACTTGTTAGTGTCATTCGTTCATATCCGATATTTATAATGTAAATATAACATTACTATATACACTAGCATGTGTTTCTTAATGTATCTCTGGAAACTAAGATCTTCAACCAACGAGTAAGAATGTGTATAAGCTTTAAATTCTACTTTAACTTATAATTTTTTTCATTAGGAAATAGTAGAAGCAATATTACAAACACAAAGGAACTACAAATCAGTTGTAAAGTTAAACCCAAGCATGGAAAATGCAAGTAAGCTCTCTGAAATACAATATACATATATTCTACTGTTCATATAAAATAATTATATATTCTTTATTTACGAAGTTGAATTAAAAAATTTTTGACATTGAAGATGTTTTTTTTACAATTACCTACATGTACCAAAAGAATAACGAAAAACTGAAATAGCTATCAAGCCCGCACTTCTTGTTTCAAGTGAATTGTGTTTCTGTGTTCTGTGTTTTCTACTCCTTGTATTTCGGTTTTATTTCGGATTTATTTTTTTTCTTAATTTGTTCTTCATTGAGAAATAATAAAAACGCACTTCAATGGTGGAATGGCGAATTGCAGTAAAATGCAGTTTTTATTATGTTTCCACTCAACACTTTTTGATCAAGAAGACATCATCAATACTTGAATTAATTTCTTTAACAAAAATATAGAACATAGATACATACATACATATGTCATAACAATAAAAAATGTTAATAATCTGTTCTTTTCTATAGCAAAAAAAAAGGTTTAGGTGTAATGAAAAGCATACACAACGTAGCCAATTCGTCCGCTTTAAACATTGTACTTAACACAGTTGAACGTAAAGAAAAAAAAAAGCAGAAGGCCAAAAAACAAATATGGTAGATTAGCGATTGAGGGTAAAGTGGTTTACTAACCACTTTCTCATAGAAAATTCTACGTGTACAACAATCCAGCCTAATCTTCTAGTATCGAAAAAAGTAAGATGTCTGTAAATAGTTTTTTGATAAATTTAACAAGCGAGTAATACCATACCAAAAACATAGAAATATAAAGACATGTAATTTGCCTCTGTTAAAAAAATCATGAATTCTGAAAAGGTACAC